TAGACGTGTGTAAGATGCTACGCTGACAGTCTCTGTGCGTTTTGGCTTGACCTTATCACGCTAATTATGCGGTTAGCAACACAGAAATACTTGCTTTGTCTTCCACGCTGACAGTCTCTGTGCTGTGGATTACATTGTTTACGTTGGTTCCTCTTGTTCACCTGTCCGTTCTCATCCTCCTGCTAGTTCCTGCCATTAGTGTGTATGTTGTACCTGTTCGTCCTGGTCTCCTTAGTCATCACTGCCCTTCCCTTGTATGTATTATGGACCCTGTTATGTTGTCATGTTTTTATTCCATTAAACCACCTTTTTTGTACTAGCACCTGGGTCAGCCATCTTGAGTCCAACCCCAGTTCTCCCTCACCCTCCTGGTGAGGGGGACTAAACCATAACAGTTAAAGGAGCAGGGAAAATAGCTCAGTTCTATTTTGATTGTCTAGATGTTCACAGGCTGTCACCACTTATTAGTAAAATATGGCCTCTTTTAAATTTAGTATTTCAAACATTTAATAAGCATTTGGTGTCATTCTAAAGCATGCTAACAGAGGCCCACAGAGGAAAGGAGTCCAACAATATCAGTCCCACATGGGCCATCATCTTTCACTCCACTCATGATGTAGCGGCGCTTCATCTGTACAGAGGCTTCGGAACAGTGGGCAACAAAAAGCACTGTCCATGGTCTTGAATTTCATTGGTTCTAGACACACACAGTACATGAAACTGTTGGCTGCAAATGCAGTTATAGGTTTTATATATCCGAGTTCATTCATGGCATTTATTTCAAATTTGTTGTTAAGCAAAGGATTCTTTTTGCCCTATTGCTTTCAACTGTGGTTTAAAGCATGTGTCTGTTGTAATATACTATATCCCAGCAACCGCATTTTGGGAATTCTGTGCCAAAGTGGGTTAATCTAAAGCAACTAAAGGGCTGAAAAAATTCTCTGAAGTCTTGGGAGAAGATGAAAATGTTTCTGAATTGACAGCAGTGCTATGCCCTAATGCAAGAAGCATAACAAATACAGTATGTCTTTGCACATATAGCCAGCACATGCTGAATACTCCAATCTAATTAGGGCATCTTAATTAAACATCTGTTGAGGTTTTGCACCCTCACCATTCTTAAATGTACAGTATTGATATATTCATCTTCTGATGAAAAAATACACCCACACAATAAAGTACTTTATGTCTAATACATGTCCCTATTATTAGTCTATGTACATTTTTGGTAAATTAGTATCTATTTACATCCCACTTTTGACATTAATACATCTGCAAACATTTGTCAGTGAGAGATGTCTATGTGGATTCTGTGTACCTCCATTGACATGATTCATTCAATAGACCCTTGTCTTAACAAGAACCCTCATGACAATCTTAACACCAAAAAAAAAAAAGTCCTTTAAAGAAGCAGGGACTGGCCAAAATATCATAGTGTTTTAAATGTGCCCTTACTATCAATGTCTAAAACTGAAACTATAGTAGCGCTCACAAGCATAGTTTCCAGATCAGACTACTTTAGTTTGTTGAACACAGACTCAGACTTCACCTGTCAACAGACTGGTGTTCATAAGCGAACTGCTTTTAATTTATGTCTGAGGGAGTTGGACAAAAAGAATCATAATGCTGCAGATATTTACAGAGATACATTATGTTCATGGATTGCTACATTCCATGTGCTCATAATCCACTTAGACACAAGCTGTAACTTTCAGACAGAATATCAATAACTTCAGTTGAAACCTAGACACCTGACCACATTCCCAGCGAAAAGCCACTGTTGAGAGTAGCACAATTAATTAAAGCAAGGGCACCACTCTACATCTGTCACATCTCTTGGCAGTTATTTTAATGATATATTTTGGTCATTCTCTTCTTCCTGGTGTGAGAGGGGATACGATACATGAGACAACATCTGCTGAGGTATGTCACATGAGCTTCAACATCTGTCCATGTTTTTACACAGCCTGTCAATCACTTATGTCATGTCTCATACGCATTTATGTTATCATATTGAGAAACCACACACGCTGTCAAGTGATGATGAGCTTACATCTGTGCTGCGGTTACAATTAACACACTTTTACCAAGCAGCAAATCTACACACAAACACCGAGATTGACACTACAGACAAATACCCAGACACACCCTGTGGCTTGTAGTCATTTTGGTCCCTTATGTTGTCCATCAAGGAGACAGTGTCGACTGTTCTCTAAACTGACTCCACCCACAAAGGCTTGTGATCACCTAAGCTGTCAGCTAGCATCTGCTGAAACTACCAACCAGCCAACTGTGAGACTGGCTCTGAAGATATCTCCACAGAAAATGTGTCAGCTACACATGCTGTTCAGAACTCAGCGGCATATTTTCCCCTTCTATTTTTGTTCATTTTAATGTGGTAAACTTTATCGGCAAAGTCTTGGAAAATGTCAAACTGTTTTGTATGTATGACATTGTAGCATCTTGGAAGTCCATGTCAACTCATGTTGTATAAAAATAAATTGTTTAACATCAATGTCAAGCTTTTTAGCACAGAATAATGGCAGTGTTTTGAATGCCACTATAGCAATGGGAATATTGCATTGTTAGAGCTAGTTAGTTGTGTGATTCACAAATGATATCACTAAAGTTCAGTTGCCAATCACATACTGTATGTAGATGCACTGCATTTATTTGAGAGGGAACACCAGTGTAGTAAGATGTGTTTGGAATTGGGGGAAGCTTTGAAGTTATGTAATAGCGTTTTTACCTCCCACTGACACAGATTCTTTTTCTCGTATTGCCAGTGATAGTTCGGTAGCATTAATTACTGGGGGAGAAAAGATGCATTTCAAAAGTAGGCATGTTGTTCTCTTAATAAGCACAAGGGATCAGGACATCTGGACACTTTGATGTACTGCACAGAATGTACACTACTGAAGGATTATGGTAGTCTGCCTTATACCCCGTGAACACACACACACACACAAATAAACATCTACACTTGTCTAGTCCAAGACGCCCATGCACCCACTTGCAGATGACACAGAAACCTAGAGACACACTAGCTTTCTATCCCTAGACATCTACAATTTTTTTTTTTGTTCATAATCCCATCTGAGTCTATTAATATTTCTGTTTCCATGGTGAGTTGAACCTTGCCAAATGCTGTACAGATAAGAGGAGATAAGAGCATAAGGAGCAGGCAGATAACAGCAAGTGACCTGCAAAGATCAGAGCACAAGAAGTGAGACAGAAGAGCAGAAGAAAGTTACTCAGTCCTTTCCTGCTCAACCTCACTGCAAACCTGATGAAAAAAAGACTAAGCTTCCTAGCAGTGCATCACTTGAACGTTTACCTAGAATTAATCTTTTTTTTGTAGTAACTTTTTTGTGTATCGAGTGTCACCCTCCACAGAAGCTAAATGGAGGCAATACAAATAGTAAGACAGCATGTCACTGCTGCTGTTAGGAGAAATAATTGATACAATATTGTAGTTATAACTAAAGTCCAAACACCTGAAAATATCAGAATAACATTATTCTCAAATTATATTAAAATGTCAGAGTCCAAATGGAAATTTGGCACATACAGGTTAATTCAGTTTAAACAAGCTATATGTTTTCAAATGGAAGTAGACATTTTATCTCTTCTGTGCAGTTCTGCAGAGAATTATATTTTGAATAAAAAAGGAGAGGTTGTAACAAAGATGTGATAAATTCCTAAGGATCTGTTTACATTTTTATAATTTGAAATGGCACACAAATAATAAAAGGCATTCAAATTTTGTATTGTGTTATTGTCTGTGAAGTAGTTCATGTCATATTACTGTAGCTGAAAATATACATGAGAGGTCTTCATTCTATATTTTAAGTGTCACAAACAGTAAGAATAATTCTAAATTTGAACTGTCCTTCTTTAGTACCTTCATCCAATGCAACCAGCCACCCACTCTACTAACAGACCCTCTAGACAGTAGTTTCACAAATTTTTAAGGCTTGACTTTACCTGTTTGTTGTTGTACTTCGGTTGACTGGTCTTATAGCTGTAATCGGAGTACTGGTCTGATCCGGTGGAGTTGTCATCTCCTCCTGTTCCTACAAAGGTGTTGGCAGCAGGCAAGTCTTGGACAACCTGATGCTTCTGTGAGGCTGACGGGGATTGGGCTTGCAGCTGGATGGAGGGTAAGGGGGAGTTGGAGCGATAGTGCCTTCCTATATCAGGGCTTCCTGGTGAATATGTTAAAGGCAGGTGTATCCTGGGGCTATCGTTGACTCCATCAAGGTTGAACTTGAGACCCTTTTGAAGGCTGACCTCCTCCTCTTCCCCAAGTGGTTTTGGGGACTTCTGGGGTTTGCCTTTCCTTCCTCTTTTGCCTTTGGCATTCTTTGGTGTCTGTTTGGGTGCATATAAGTCTTTTGTTTCCTTTTTGCCAGCCTGATACCCACTTTTAGTTTCCCTCTGAATGCGGTGCCGAATAAATACCACCACCAAGATCAACATGACAACACCTGCCACACCAGCAAGGCTTCCAAACAAAATGTTGCTACGCTGTGCAGCAAAACCATTGTCAGGATCACCAGCAATGTCCCTGTCTAGTGGAGTGTAAAGACTGTGTCCAACTAGGGCTTCTACTAAGCTGACATTTGAAATGGTTTCATTGACATAGACATGCACCAGGGCAGTGGCATGACGTGCAGGCTTCCCTCTGTCACTCACTCGCACCACTAGGCGATGTAGTCCACTATGTTTTCGGGTCATCTCTTTTGCTAGAGTGATCTCCCCACTGGAAGGAGAAATGCGAAATAATTGGTAAGGGTTTCCACCAGCTATACTGAAGACCAGCTCTGCATTAGACCCACTGTCGAGGTCCTCAGCTTCCACTAACTCCACATGGCTATCTGGGGAAGCTAAAGGTGACAAACGCCTGAAGGAGGAATTGGCAGGCTTAGTGACCACGGGGTCATTGTCATTTTCATCCAGTACATTGATGGTAACACCCACATATGAAGACCTGGGTGGCTCTCCTCCATCCACTGCTTTTAGACGGAAGGTGTAGCTGCTTTCCTTCTCTCTGTCAAATGAGATACTTGAGAGAATGGTGCCTGTTCCATTTTGAACAACAAACTTCCCTCCATCAGGCTCTACAGAGAGGCGAACATGAGCATTCTCACCTTTGTCCACATCAAGGACTGTCACCATACCAACTGGGCTGAGGGGAGGCATGTTTTCCAAAACTGAAAAGCTGTAGCTGCTAAGCATAAATTTGGGGTCATTATCATTGCGATCAAGGACTTTTATTACAACAGTTGCCGTCCCCTTATGAACAGGTGAACCTTTATCTGCTGCAGTAACTCGAAACTCATATTGTTCTTTATGCTCACGATCAAGTGGGCTTCGGGCTCGTACTTCACCCGTATTTGGGTCAATCTCAAATAAACCTTTGATGGATGAGTCTGCAACAATATTATAGAGAAGTTCCGCATTAGTACCACTGTCTGCATCCAAAGCTCTAACATCCAAAACCTTTTCCCCAGGTTGGTTTTCTTCAGCAAAATCTACCTCAAACAAGGCTGGGGAGAATACTGGAGAGTTATCGTTCACATCAGTCACCTGCACCTTCAAAGAGTTTGTGCTAGAGAGCGCTGGATTTCCTGAATCCACAGCCACAATTTCTACTCGATAATCCCTAATCCTTTCGTAGTCGAGAGGAGTTGTGGTCTGTAGAAAATACTTCCTCTTGTTGTCACTGGATGAGTCACTGGCAGGGCGGAGCTGGAAGGGCACATCTCCTGCAACCACACAAGTGACCACAGCATTCTCTCCCTCATCCTTGTCAGAGACTTGCACCAAAGCAACGGCTGTTCCAATTGGCATGTCCTCTGAAATGTTAGCCACTCCTTCACTGTGTGTCACAAGACCGATCCCCCGAATCTCCACAGCTGGAGCATTGTCATTTTGGTCAGTCACCTCAATGTTTACAAATGTCTTTGAGCTTTTAGGTTGAGGACCCTTATCCCTCGCCACCACATAGAAAGACAGGATGCTGAGTTCCTCCCTGTCTAGTGGCCCTTTAACATAAATAACACCAGTGGACCGGTCAATTCGTAAGAGTTTTGGTACTGGGTCTACTGCTTGGTGAAAAGTGTATTCTATTTCTCCATTAGGGCCCATGTCCGAGTCATTTGCTTTGACCTACAATAAAAGGAAGTTTGCGGTTAAGGGCATGAATCATATGCAACATTTTGAGGTTAGAATTGCATGAAGCCGGTGTAGGAGTTTCTCTACTAATCACTGGTCAGTGATTGAATGAACAAATAAATCAATGGAAGTCTGATCACTAAAAACCCCAGCGTGTCTTCACAGCATGCCCTTCCTCCCTGCTTTTGGTGGTTATGCCACAGGCCTTTTTTCATTTTTCTCCTTTCTTTTATTCCAGAAAATAGGCTAGAAAAAAGCACCACAAAAACATGTACAAATATCAGGTCTCCTATTTTTTTAAGACAGTGCAATTCCACAGTGGTATGCAGAGAAAATCCTACACAGAGCATCACTCTCATACACTCCTGTGTATCTCTTACTGTTTCTGAAAGTATAATAGCACAACCAAAGCAACAAGCAGCTTAATTGCCTGTACAAGCATAAGATACTAATTCTCTAATATTTCTAGTGTCACATATTTCAACTTCTTTATTGCTAAAAAGATATGTGATTCAAAAAGATCTAATTGTGGCCCTTGTTTCCCATGAATTCAGCATTAGAGGGTATATTCTGAACATTTATGGTTGTAACAATATTTCACTATTTACATTATTCTGAAGCACCACATCATTATCTTTGACTTGAATTTATACGTTTTGACTATAAACACTGCATTAAAGTGTTTTTTTTATTCTTTGGATAATCTGGTTGAGAAATGTTGTGGTCCTTGGCAGCAGATTGCAAAATTAAAAACAGTACATCTAGCTGCAAAAGAAATTTTGATTACAATTTAAAACTGCACTACACACTATAATTTGATTAAAACTGTTTAAAAGGAAATCAGCATTACCATCTTACCTGCAACACAGAGTGCCCCACTGGACTATTTTCCAACACTTCTGCCTCATACATGGACTTTTCAAACTTAGGAGAGTTGTCATTGGCATCAGTGACTACCACTCTCAGCAAAGCACTGCTATAGCGCTGAGGATTTCCTCCATCCACTGCCTTGATGGTCAGGTCATAGGAATCCTTTAACTCTCGATCTAGGTTGCCCAGGACAATGAGCTGTGGGAGTTTCCCTCCCCTGTCATCAGCCACTTGTAAACCAAACAGGGTTGCTGCATCTGGCCCCGCAGTCAGCGCATAGCCAGCAACCCCATTCCTGTCTGAGTCCCTGTCAGTAGCTAAAGGTATGGAGAACAGCGCCCCCATGATTGTGTTCTCAGGGACGGAGATGGTTAGCACAGAAGACGGAAACTGGGGGGTGTTGTCATTGATGTCCTGCACCTCAATGCGCCCTTCAATGAGTTGTGGGCTCTGATTTTGTATCAGATCTGTCACTGATACTTCAAATTCCAGGTAGCAGGGCTTACCCTTAGTCAGGGATCGACAGTCCCTCAGGGTCTCTCTGTCAATGGGAATCTCTGTGGTGAAAATGTCTCCTGTCTTTCCATCAACACGGAGGTAAGGTGCACCCACTTCCAGCTTGTAGAGGTGACCTGAGTCTGGAAGTCCCTGGTCTGCTGCCAGGCTCCCAATAAGAGTGTTGGGAGGTTGCTCCTCCTGGACCCGGTACAGGATACCACCTTCAGCGGAGCCACAGTGCAGCATCAGGACCCAAAACAGCACTACTTGTAAATTCAGTTCCATTAGGTCATCAGAAGAGCTGTCTGTAAATGACACAGAGAACCAGTGTCAAAATGTTGTTTCCTTTTAGAAATCAATCAAATCAAAATAAGGTTTACAGTTGAGTGCAAAAATTTGTATCCCCTTACTTTGAAATGGCAAAAAGAGTAAAACAAAGATTTTTTTTTCTCATTAACATAATATTTATTGTGCATTCAGTTGGTACAAATGTTCCTTCATCAACAGAAGTAACACAAATGGTCAGGGAGGGAGTGTATAAAAAAAAAGTTATAGTAAAATCATGCAAATCATATCAGTGCAAGAGTTTGCATTCCCCTTTATGAAATGTTCTCTAATACTTTGCATGTCCTCCCTAACCTCATCCAGCCTCTTTGGGTACACTGTGAGCAGCATTTGTATCCTTTCAGGTGTGATTTTAGCCCATTCTTCATGGCATATTTGTTCCAAGTCTACCACATTGCTTGGTTGTCTGCTATGCGCACCCTTCTTCAAATTGAAAATTCTTTGTTTTACTCTTTTTGCCATTTCAAAGTAAAGGGATGCAAACTTTTGCACTCACTTGGTAGCTATAACACAACTCCATAGGCAATAATTGATGTTAATTATTTGCCTATTAAATGTAATACTTTCAATTTTATTTTAAAGGAAAATCCGAGAACACATATCAAGAAGTCATAAAGCCCAGAGTGACTTAGTCAGCTGGAAAAAACTACTTTCTTTGTATTGTCGTTTCTGTTCTTTGTCTAACAATTCAATCAGAACTATACCCTAGCATGGTTTCTTTTCTGTTCCAGAGCTTTATAAGTTTCACTGAATGTCTCATCTTTATAAGTTTCATGTAGAAATGTAGGGACAAGAAATTATATCTTGTGAGCTTGTACACAAAACAAACTTGAGGGCCAGTGTGGACTGTTTCAGCTGTGTAATAAAATAAAAATGAAATACAAAATCTTGGAGATTCAGCATAGCCTGAGAGACTCATTATTTCAGTATTACACTACTAGACATTGAGTGGTGAAGCAATGCAGCTCAGAAATAACCTACGGTATAAACATACAAACCTGCCATGATGTTACCTATTGACAGAGCTAAACTGTTTGATCTATTTCATTAGTAGAGAGGCCTCTAATAACAAGGGATTGCATACTAAGGGTCATAGAGTCACTGAGGCAGTTTCCTCCCAAAGAGATTATGCAATTTTGCCATGATCATTGCATGTGACTTGTAACATAACACAATTCAGAAATTTCCATCCATGTACCATTGCTACTGACTAGCTCAAACACTGCATTCATTATGTTTGAATTTGAATCTTTCAACTCTATAATTATAGCCCATATTTAAAATATATATATATTTTTTTAATCTCCATTTCCTCCAGCTAAAGAATTTAGTTTTTTTCATACTGCAATGATTTTAGAATATTATTTCCTCTGTGTGTGTGTGTGTGTGCCTGTGTTATTCTGTTGGTAATTGAAAACAGGCATTGGGGTTAAGTACAAAGGTCCTGTGCTCTGGAAAACTCAGTGGTGGCAACAATTCACCAGTTTTGTGTGTGGAGCATGTGTGAGTGTCTACTTACTCATCATGTAGTGCTCATTCCTGTATTTACTTTAATTGCAGACTGGGCGCACAGTCTATTGCACTGAGATGTTTGTACTAGAGATGCTCCAGTCCAATACGGTGATATTGATTCTGATACTATACTTATTATATGGATTGGATTGTATCCAGGACTAAACCAGTTCATAATATATAATGGTTTAAAACACACTGATTTCAACAGAAAAATAAAAAAAGGGGTACCTACCAATATCAGGGTTTAGGAATTGGTGAAAACAAGTGGGATCAGTGCAATTTTAGTGTGGGTGTAAGCTATGTAGAAATATACAGTACATACGTATGAGCAGTGTTATACTGTAATAAACTCAGTACATTCTGCAGCTTCTGACCTGAAACAGTGTTCCAGAGAGGAGCAGAACAAACGTGTATTAAGCTACACAGCAAAATATAGATGTACAGAAATCGAATGTGAAATCCCATTCCTTTTGAATACATTAAAATTTGAAGTGCAAGTTATTGGTGTACTAATTGCTCAGTTATCGATGCACCACTTTTTACATTTGCAGAGGGAGTCTTTAGTCAAAATGGTGTGAAAAGTGAGTGTGCATTCTCAGAGTTTATGTGTGCTGTAAGGGGGAAAAAAGCAGTTCCTGTACCTACAAAACACAGGTGATTAAAGTAAAACAGTAAGTGAAGTAAATCAGTATCTACTGCTATTATAAATGTTTCATATAACTGTCCACACTTACATTAAACACAAGCTTGTAAAAGGTCTTGTTAAATAAAGAAATATAGATATGTATTCACTAAACCTTAAAAAAACAATTTGCTGCATTGTTATCTGAAGGATCTGACCATACACTTTCTCATCATCTGCTTTATTCAGCTGTCAGTGTTTAAGTTCGCAAAATGATTTTTACTAAATGACCATTTCAAAAAGGAAACCATCATTAATTCCAACATGTTTTGTTTAGCTGTAAACCTCCCCACTGCCATTACAACCACTTGTAGAAAGAATAGCCATGCGCTGATAGTGACATGATTGTTATGGCTGATGGCACTCATGACTTAATGTCTTTCGGTTGGCCTCATGCCTGTCTTCCAGATGGCACTGTGCCTGGCATCCTTAGTAAACTGGTGTTCTTTTTTCTTTGTTTACATTTACGTTAAATTCAGTTGTGAAATATGCATTTTGCCATCACTCAGTGAAAATTTCTTATAGGCTCAATATTACTGACACTGTGACTTTGGGTTTTTATCTCACATTTCTCAGCTATCTCACAAATCTTTTATAAAAAGCTCAACAGCACATTTTTTTCTAAGCGCTCTGAAGTCATGGTGAGGTTTTTACACTACTCGGGGATGTGTTACTTCCTGAACTGCTGCATGTCTCACCAAAGTTCACCACCTGAGCAGCAAAGTGGATAAATTAGAACTGCTGAACACAACTAGGAGTGACATTTCCTGCATCTCAGCACTTTTTCTCTGAAAAATGTGGTTATCATCTGCCATCCCAGATGGTGTGGTAGACCCACAAGACTGCAAGCTGATTCAGGCAGATCACAAAACAGAACTCAGCATATAATCAAAGGGAGGAACATTAGTAAGTTAAGTTTTCAGTGTGTTCAAAACTGTCATATTAGAGTCCTGGCCAAGTAGTCTAAAATCAAATAGTTTTGTTGTTTCTAGGATTAAGGTCTTGGCTTCTGTAAAAACTGAATTCTAGAACACGAACGGCAGCAAATGGGACAGGTATTACAACTGGATCAAGCATTGAAACGCTGGAATCTTGGGGAAGCCTGAAGCTGAAAAAAAGTGAAATCCTTCTGGCTATTAAAAGTCTCTCAACCTCCTTCTCAACACCCAAGCACTGTGATACAGTAGCATTGTGATGTTTAACTGAGACAATCACTGCATAAATCGCTTCCATTTATGCACTAACTTACCCATCATACCTAGAAAATTGCAGAGCTACTTTGCAGGAGCTAAACCATAGGAAAACCTAGACCTGGCTAATGTTTGGGTGACCTCTACTTTATTATAAGTTGTATGAATGAAGTTGACACTGCACTTATGCAGAGCTATTAGGGCCGTATATAGTCTCATACCATAATTCCCTTAAGCACTGTATGCTGCAAAAAACATCCTGCTCAAACAGAGAAACCAACAAACACACTAAGCCAGATACTTATGGAGGTGATCTGGAGCAGCAAATACTCTTAAGGAATATCTTTCCAAATACAATCTAAGCATCAACTGTCTGAATGAGGAGAGAACTCTAACTCTCACTGAAGCAGCAATCAGCACATAGGCTCATGCTGTGAGCATGCAATGGTCCAGATTGTTCCAACATAAAGAAAAAAAAACCAAATGCAGCCTTACCACAGTATGGAGGTGGACCTTCTGTCAGGTTTGCCCGGCTGCACCTGCCTCTCTCCACTCCCTCCCC